TCTCCACATCCCTAGAAGACTCACAAATTCTTCCCCCCTAAATTTGATTTTTCCTTTTAGATCTGTGTTGCTTGAGTCTTTTGGAGAATAAAGGAAACATTCAATAATAGTGAATTACACTGAAACCCTTTTCATTAGCTCTGTTATTTCTTTACCATTTCTTTTTGACCTAATCATATTCATTGCTGGTGCCTATTTGCTGTTGTTATTATAAAATAATAATGATGATGAATATTATCTGTACCATTTATTGAGCATTCTACTAATTTCATCCTAATGACTATTTGGAGGTTAACCTATCCAAAGTCACCCAGGTGAAGTCTGCCTGACTCCAAGCTGTGCTCTCATCTGCCACAGTAAACTCCTGTACTGCTGCCACATTTTGATGATACTGGAGTTTTAAAGATCTCTTGACTTACAAACATCATATCTATACACAGCCACTCCGAAATGAGCCCCAACCTGCTTCCCCACTCTTCTAGTGTCCTATTGCCTGTGTCTTAAAAGTCAATTTAAAGCACTTAAGGTTGGCATTGAATGTATATTCTCAGTATTGAGAAGAGAATAAGCTCTAATAAAGGAAACAACTTAGTTAACAGTGGCTATCTACTTGCCCAAAATACTTTGTCTTTGCCTGTTTGAATTTTTTTTAATATTGATATAGCCTACAATTCAATCATGTGATTTTTATTTCTATTTACACGGCTTTTTTTTTTTTTAAATGACACTATTTGTGTGCTGTTATTCATATGTTAATGTAAATTAGTTTGGTTGCTTTCTTCCTAATGTCTCTTGGAAATTGGTGAATAGGTCCTGAAAAGACAAAAGCCTGGGTGAGAGGGTGACTGCCTCGGTACAGGCAAGCACAATGAATGGAGATAAACTCTTTCCCTTTCTTTCACTGTGTTGTCCTCTGACCCCACAGCACTAACTCATTCTATTAGATTACGGGTTAAATGAATTAGTGTGGTTACGGTCCACATTTGAAAAGTTCTGAGTAATGTATAGGCTATATTACTTAATTACAGAGAGGCAAATAAAAACAGAAAATTTTAAGTGCTATAATGGGGTAAGATAGTTTTGTGATGATTTTGTGGAAACACTACTAGCATTTTTTCAAAGGTCATGATTTCTACAGAGAACTGAACTTTGAGTTCCAAATAAATACTGTATCAATGAACTGAAGAGCATTCTCTGTTAAAATATTAGGGACTACCCTTTTAAAAATATATTCTGGGATAATTTTAATATATTAAATATGACTAATTTAAAAAATTTAAAGCATATTTAAATAAAGTTACCAATTTCCCATATTATTTTTCAGATATACTATATACATTGCTTGGTTTTCAATTATTGCTAATTATATTAATTAAATATTATATTACTCTCAGAAGGGTATTTGGTCTATGCTGAATTATAATTTGCTTTGTTAAAATTAATAGATATTTCCCATTTTTCTGAACAAATGAAGAGCAGAGAAAAAACTCTTTTATAGAAAAAATAAAAGTTGATCTTTAAACTTCTGCCAAGAGTAGAATAGTAGAATCACATTTAAACTGGGAGAGGCAGAATACCAATAGGAATGAAAGGGTGCATTGGCTACATAGTTAAAATCTAATGTGAGGGGGAAAAAAACAAGAAATCATCCATTGATTAAAAATAAACCACATCTGCATATGCGTTTTACTGCTCTTATTAAATGTAGGCTCTCTGCTTTTAAATTTCCAAATCTACTTAAAATGTTCTTTAAAAGGCAGTAACAATAGGCATCTCTCTACAGATGCTTTCCAAGTGAGATACGAAAAAGATTTTATTTTCAAATTAGTAAGAATTGTTTACAAACTATCAGTGCAGAAGATTAGAAAAATTCAGGGAGGCAATGTCATTTAAAATGTGGAATGTGCCGTTAAAAAAGAACTTCACTAATACTCGATTACATTACACCAAAACTGCTTAATAGCTCCATTGGAATTTCAGGAAAATTGCTCAGATGTATAGCACATGTTCCATATGCCTGAGGCTTTGCATATAATCTCAGACAGCTCAAACTTGAAAACCAGATTAGCTATGAATATTACTTCCCATGACTTAGAGCCTATGTAAATTTGGATAAATTACATAAACTTTCAAAGCTACGGTCCCTCATCAGTTAAATGATTTTTTTCAAGAATTATATCATAGTACATAGGTCAACAGCAATATTTTAATTGACAAGTTATCAAAATAAGGAAGAAAATAATGGAAATATTAGTAAACTAAACATTACTAATTAAAAAGAGAAATGCTGTCGAAAATTTTAATCAAAGTAACTGTTGGTATGGAAGTTAATTTTGTATAAATATAAATAATATATAAATAAATATATGTAAATATACATATATATGTCCTTTACTGATGACAAAACCTCTATACTTTTCTCTTTGATCTATGAGAGAAGAAGATCAAGCTAGGAATGATGGGGAGATAGATGACAATAAAGATAGTTCCATATCAGGAAAAAATTTGTAGTAAACAAAGTAGAGTTGTGTGGTGAACACTTTTAAAAAGTTGTACCATATGAGTTGATTACATTTTTGGCTAAGCTGAAGGCATAATTTCAGCAATAGAAAACAGAATGATAAGTATTTGACAGTCAGGTGATAGAAACCATGAGAGGCCTGGTAAAGGTGCCAGATTTTCCATTCCCAAAACAAAGTCTCCATTTTTTAACAATTATCAGTCAACACTGGCTTCAATTTAAAATCATAATAGTGGAAGTCAACTCATTCAGTTACCCAGAAGTAAATTTTACAAGCAGCTCACCTTTGAGCAGTAGTTCCTAAATCTTAGTTGGCATCTGAATCATCAGGTAGGCTTGTTACCCTACAGAAATACTACCCCCAGAGTTTTGCCTAAGTAGATCTAGAGGGGGGCCAGAGAATTAAATTCTAAAAGTCCTCAGGTGACATTGATGCTATGTGAAAACCACTGCCTGAGAGAATGTTTAGGAAATTATACTGCTTAATATAATTAGTCCTTTGCCAAGACTAAAATTTCTTCTGACCTAAGTAAATAGTGTCAAAGTTATAAAAATTTGAAGCCTCAAGCATTCATTTATTTATGAATTGGAATGGAATCAAAACTTGTTTTTCTGAAAAATATTTTGAGTCATGCCTATAGTATTCTTTAATCAATCCTCCTCCAAGAAATTTCTGTCATGTATTATCCACTAGAAGAATCATTGCTACTGCTTCTAAGAATTTTTTTTTATTGTACAAACTATATAAATCATACAACCAACTCAATTTCTCCTTCTGCCTTTGCTGCTTGTTAGGAAGCTCATGGTCAAAGTATATGCCTCACATATAGCAGGTGCCTAGGATCCCAAACTATGCATTTTGCTTACAAGCTTGACCTTGTTTTGTCTTGATTTCATTTTCCCTTGATACTCATTTTTTCATTGACACTACTGTTGAGAGTATCATATCTATTTTTAAAAATTATCTACATTCCTTCTGAAGCAGTGAGATATAAACAGGTAAATAAAATAAATTTGTGTTATCTGAAGACATGTTAACAAAAGTTTTAATATCCTATTTTATTAGGAATTATGCCTTAGTCTTTGGGTTATATAAAATAAATAAATGAGAGATTAGAGCTTAACAGAGGCCACATATAATCAGGTCTCTCTATACAGTCCAAGGCAGAAATACCAAGAAAGTACCTAGTAATGCACAGGTATCATTTCTGATAACAAGCTCAAAAGATTAGTGATGTATCTAAAATATTGTATCATTATAAAACTTTTCTATGACATTTGCTACAACTATTTGAAGTTATTCATATTTTTATTTTAGAGAAAAATTTCTAGGAGTTCAGAACCTGGGAAGTAAAGGCAAAGCTATTTTTATCTGTCTTAAATTTACTTCTCTTGGCTTTGGACCTGTGCCATTTCCAATATGCCACAGTCTTGTGATGAACAATCCTATATTCTCTATGTCTGTATTCAGTATATTTGAGGAAGACACTGGTGGTTTGAAAGATGATGCTGATGTAAGACTCTCTGCCTCCTCTATGACATAGTAGAGAAACTAAGAAATCTGTGTTACTTATCACATAATGCATATCCAACATAGCCAGTTATGCTCTACTTAAGTCTTGACTTTACCAAAGAATGGAGTGTAATGGAGAGCAAGGGAAGGTTTAGTAGGTTAGGATAAAGTACACCTAAGGATATAAAAATCCAAACTGCTTTTCTCTAACACACAGATAAATAGACCACAAATATTACATGATTGCTATGATTAAATTACTAAGTGATAAAATGCATAATAGCTAAATGTTATGAATAAGGTTTGTGACTTTCATTCTTTTATTAAATCTTAAATAGGTACAGTGGAACAAAGTCTTTTCATGACTTTGACCATGAATAATATCATGTTATTAAAATGTTTTGAAAATATAAAGGCAATGAAGAACAAGAGCAATGAAATAATACTTTTTCCTTACCATGGTAAACCTCGCACCTCAGCTTATTTCCAAAAAAGCAATTTAAGAAGATTGTTGCTAAAAAAACATTTTGAACTATGTACAATACCTCACAAGTATGTATTTTGTTCCAATACCTCATTAATACACCAGGTTCAGTTAAACTACTATAAAATCAAAATAATTCTATGTGTAGGAAAACCATAAGAAGATAATAGTGCTTAAACATTTTGAAGGTATTAGAGCCTTCATAGGTTTCATCAAATGAAAAATTCTAAAAGATTTGTTTTTCAGATCATTTATGAGTTTCATTTCTTTAATCTCCTATATAATGATTTTTAAATATAAGGCAAATTCTATACCTAAAAGTTGGTATACAAATTCATTATAAATCTGAGAATTTAATAATATCATGGGGCCACTGCATTATATGTTTGTGTCTAACTAATCTGCATTCAGCTGTTTAAGAGAATCTAACAATTTGATATGATTAATTGATTTTACAACTTTTAAAAAGAAAAATGTCTTGCCTTTGAATGGTAATCTTGTTCCAGTCTGGAATCTGATCCGGCTACCTGTTTGTATTTGTTAATTTTCATTTGGCGATTTCTCTCCTCTATATCCATAGCACCTATCGAGTAGAAAAAAATCCATAAAATTAATGTTCAGTTCTTATTTGTGAGCCCTACTTATAGTCTGTATAAAAGAAGAAATGCTAGACTGTTATATAACTTTCATTCAAGGTAGTACTTACAAATTCAATGTATAATTTTTTTGCATTGAGTATATTTCAATGTAAACTTATTTATATTTAAAGTATGCATTTGGCAAACAAAATCATGATTATTAACTATGTAAAATAATTTTAATCTGAATAAAATGTAAATGAAATTTAAACAAAAAGACAACAAATCTTCACTAATATAAAACATTTCTGGTACATGTAGGTCAAGGAGTACATATCTGACAATACATAAATTTGACAATGGTATTATTATAAAAACTTTGGCTTGTAATTCATCAAGACTTGATTTATTTACTGAAGAAATGTTGTAAGTTTAATTGGTGTCAAATACAATTTTACAATTGCATTTAGAAACTATTTCATAAAATTAGCCCATGTATTAAAACAGGTTGCCCTAAGCATACATGTGGATGTGATTTCAAGATATCTTGAACTTGAACATTCTAGAACTGGGATAAAGAAAGAAACACTTAGAATAGTACTACTTAGAAGATACACAGTATATTACTGAAGTAATTTCAGAAAAAAGAAAGTAAGGAGGTGAGAAAGTGAGATGGTAAGCTTATTAAAAATTAAGATTAATGCTTTCTATAATAGGTGCTACTTCAAAACATATCAATTATAGATATCAAAAGGGTCTTTAAAAACTTTGGTTAGAACAATAACTAAATTCTGTTAGCAAAACTTAGCAAACATAAAAAGTGCTTTAAAAGTATATTTATGATTTTTTAAAATATTTTATTTATTTATTTTTAGAGAGAGGGGAAGGAAAGGAGAAAGAGGAGGAGAGAAACATCAATGTGTGGTTGCCTCCTGCACACCCCCAACTGGGGACCTCGCCTGCAACCCAGGCATGTGCCCTGACTGGCAGCTGAACTGGTGGTGACTCTTTGGTTCTCAGGCTGGCACTCTATCCACTGAGCCACACCAGCCAGGTTATTTATGATTTTTAAAAACGTTATATAGGAAAATTCCATTTCTCATGAATAAAAAACAAAATCTCAATTGTACACTACAAATATTCAGACTGGGAAAAATAATCATAGCTTGGTAGGCTCCAGTGGGTATCTATAACAAATGGTGTCATGTAAATGTACAAGCACTAAGTGTAGACAGGAATGTAAGTATACATGCTCCTTGCTTAAGATCATAACTTTAAAACTGCAATAAAGATATCTGGATGAAATGATGCCTCTTTAAAGGTAGGTATTTTAATATTCATTCTAAAACACTCATATATTTGACAAATCCTGACAGTAACAAATTTTAAGTAGAAATCAACTAAGTAGTATAAAGAGGAAAGAAAAAGTTTCAAAGAGGAGTAAGAAAATCTTGAATAAAATAATGTATAAAGACCTTACTTACATTATATAATTACTAAGTAAAACAGCAAATTTAAATCAACTCTTCAACAGTGAGGCAATCAGTTTTAAGAGTAACATTTTAATAATAATTTGATTATGATTATGTCTCAAATTACAAAATGGAGAATATATATATCATGCTAATATCAATTAAATGACACATAAAATCAAGTGAGTGCCTCCATGATATAAATGTGAAATATAGTCAAGTATCATATCTGTTAGTTGATTAAAATACAAAATTGGAATTGTTCGTACCTTAGAAGTAGTCTCAGATAAATATGTATATTTTATCCAAGAGAAGGGAATAAAAAAGCCATTCTAGCATCAAAAAATATGTATATTGAAAGAATATTAGCTAAACTGAGAGTCTGACAAGTTTCTTTTAAAAAATTTCATGCTGATATCATAGTTTGAAAATAGTATTTTAAATATGAATAACACCTATCAACAGATAAAATACATTACCTATACATATATACATACACATGCATATTGATCCATACATTTTTATGTATTTTCTAATATTTAGACTATTTTCTGAAATCAACCTCTTATAAAGCTACATTAGATTCTTTCTGATTACAGGTACTATGGGATATATACTGGCAGGACTTGGCAAACTTTTTCAGTGAATGGACCAATAGTAAATATCCTTGGCTTTGCAAACCATATGGTTTCTTCCCTAACTCTCCCATTGTAATATAAAGGTAGCTATGGATACAGACAATTCATACACAAGTGAATGTGGCTGTACTCTAATAAAACCTTATTTACAAAACAGGCAGTGGGCTGGATTTGGTCTGTGGGTCATGGTTCGACAATCCCTCAGTTAAAATATATTGGTTTAATGTTGTTTTGCGGGAGGACGGGGGAGCCTTTCTCCTTAATAATGGTTTAGAGATTTTACAGAATCAAGTTTATGATTTTCTTTCAGAACATCATTTATAACAGGTAACAGAGCGGAGGTGGGGAATGGTTTTAAAGAGTATATTAACCTGTATTTGCTATCAGCAAACGGAGATGCTTTAAATATGCTATCAACTAAATTCCAATCTCAAACACATCTCTCAACTCCAGACTCAATCATCATCTATAAGTGGTCTCTAAGTGGAAAAATACTACGTTCAAGCCTTAACCAATGAAATCTCAAGATACCACCTTAGTGAATGTATAGTCAACAAATGTGGGTAAATATACTTTTCACTTACAATGTAAAATTCTCCTATGAGGCTACTCCTTAGGACAGTAATCCAATATGTCTCTCTCCAAAATTATTTGGCTCATAGGAAATTTTCCATTCCATTCCTTTCCTGTATTTTATCAACTTATTCTCATTAAAAAAACACTCCACAAACAATAATGACCTTGGCAAAGACAGTATCCTATTGATAAAGTATCCATCCTAAAAAATTCTTCACTAGCAAGTTAATTGTTCTTTGCTGGTCCTTTTTTCTAATGAAAGTAACCTAGAAATAATATTTTCAATAACATTATTTTGGTTTCAACCAAACTCAGTCTTCTTTTTTCTTTCCCTGAAGAATGAAAAACAATTTAGAGAAATCATTGCAAGTATTCACTCTCTGGTTGGAGAAAGAAACACATAATTTCTAAATATTCAACACTGATGTCCAGTGGTGTACCTTTGTAAGAGGAAAATAAGTGAAATTGTTAGAGGCAGATTTTTGTTCAGTCTTTAAGATTTACACTGCAAATTTGTATATAAATGGTTCTGAAAGTTCTACAGTAAAGAACAATCATTTCATCACAGAAATCTAACCCCCACTTATTATCTGTTAATATCTTGCTGTAACAATGTCAAAAACACATTGTGGGGAATACTGGCTTATAGGTTTGGAGGGTAAAGTTATCTAGGAATTTCTAAAATTCATATTCTTATATGTGATGACATATTAATGGTTTCATTTGATTTTGTAATTTGAGCATGCTAAAAATTAGTTATTGTATGTTCAAAATCAAATTCAATATCAAAGCATCTTCAAATTGTAATAAAAAGCTAGTAAGGCTAATGGAACAATCATACTTCTTGGACAAACACATTTGCAACAAGAGTTTGCATATACTTGGTCTATTTATTGAGGAGATAGTCTATTTAAATGTATTAAACTATAATATTCAAATTGTCTGAATGGCTTTCCTAATATTGCATTTAAGTTATACAATGCCTTATTTTATCAACTTGGAATATTTTAGGGAAGAGGACAAAAGGAAAAGTAGAATGCAGATGTGCTGTATTAAATTTATAAATATCTCAAAATATTTGTTTTTCTCAAATTGGAAATTCCCGGTACATTGTGTGTCACTTAATTTTAAAAATCCAATATTTTGCCCTGGCTGGTGTGGCTCAATGGATTGAGTGCCGGCCTGTGAACCATAGGGTCACCAGTTCAATTCCCAGTCTAGGGCACATGTCTGGGTTGCTGGCCAGGTCCCCAGCAGGGGACGTGCGAGAGGCAACCATACATTAATGTTTCTTTCTCTTTCTCCCTCCCTTCCCCTCTCTAAAAAGAAAATCTTTATTTAAAAAAACTAAAATAATTTAAAATCCAATATTTTGATACTGATTCAATGTGTTTTCTAAAATCATGTCACATATTTTGTAAGCTCTTTAATTTCAATATAAGCCATTTAAGAGTTTTACTTGTTCTTAAATCAGTAAGTTTAAATCAATCAATGGCAATTTTGAATTTAAAGACTACTTAATGTGTCCAGAAAGTTAAAGTCATATGTATAATGTTGGTAAGGCAATCAAGTTAAATAATTTAAGTTATAGGTGGATTTTTTATCCAGATGTAGTAGAAAATGGTCAGATTAACAAGCAACAAGCCAGTGGTGGCTTAGGTTTGCTATTTACGTGTGTGCTACAAAGACCATTAGGACACCTTCAGTGATTTCTGTAGTACATGTCGATAGAATTAGTTTAGTTTTCTACACACACACACACACAAACTTCTTTGAAGCAGAGAAACAGATTTGGCAGTAACGTAATTCATAATGAAGTCAAACAGTAAGATCAGAGGATGATAGGAGTACCAATTCGGTGATCTATCTTATGATTTTATATGAAATGCCTAAATCTGAGGATCTTAAGAGAAAAATCTCTTAAGCCTAATATCAAAGCTCCAAGAAAGAATCCCAAAATTCAGAAAAATATGAGTGAACCTACAATTACAGACATCATGGAAGTCTAAGATTATTACGCTTAATTGAAATCCAGAAACTATATGAGTTAGTCTACAAATTTTCATAGCTAATTTAATAATTTTTAAATATTACCTGAATTCCCCACCCCACTCCTTTTTATCTCTATGTAAATATTTGGCTTTAGCTTAAAAAGTCTTCCTTTAATTGAGATAGAAAAATTTATTATGAGAGTTTCTAATGAAAATAGTCTGTAATTCCTTTTTCTTTGATTATATCTTCATGAAACTGAGATATGTCTCCAAACATCTGAGGTTAAAAAACACACTTTTATTATTATTTTAAAAAATATATCAATAG